GAAGATATTATCTCGGCTAAAAAATCTTTCTTCTCTCAGCTACGAGAGATACGTAGAATTAAACCGGCCCAGAGGCGATCGTGTTGTTAAGAAGCCGCTTATTTGACATTGACACATAACCGAAGGTGAATAGGCCTACCCGTCCAGTTAATACAATGGGCAATCTCACATCGGTCCACTAAAGAGAGGCACATACTAGTCGCCTCCTACTACCCTAAGACATTTAGTCCAAACCTTGACTCTCATAGATATAAACCATTTGGTACTACATGTACATGTATTTCGTAATTATATCATATTAAACCCCTCGGCCGCCATGTTGAATCACACAGTATTTAACGTTCTATATCCTAACATGTTTATGAAATCAACGACAAATCTAAACTTGGGCACTCCAACCATTTTTATTTTTACATCATTCAGTTTTTTTTAAATAAGTAATTCTATCACAAATTATAGTGAAGACTGGACCACTAAATTAGTTACCGATCCTTGTACCATGGACGAGGGGACTGGCGTTTTTCGTCCCATCGAAACGACTAGACACAGATCCTTGCTAGGCCTTCCATACTTCGCCACTGCACAAATGAGCCACGCTGGCCTCGTTTTGTCGTAACATACAAACGACTAGACAATGTTTCATAATTTAGTCATGTTCGCGTGGGTGGGTTGACAGCAGAATTGATATGTACATGATAGTGACACGAGGAGGAGGGGGGGGGGGGCGGGGTGTACACAAATCAGAGCTTTGTAATACACGCATATACTTGATATACTAAATACACAAATGGCTGAATTTCAAGACATTTCTGGCACTCTTTTAACAGATAATGAGAACACTGCATTAATTTCTATATATCAATAAAATATGCCTCAGACCCATTGTATCATATATGGTACACTAAATTTCGACATTGATTTTCAGAAAAAATATTGTTTATTTTTAAATTTGAATTAGACTAGTAACAAAATATATTTTCTGGCAACAAATAGCATATAAATAAAAATAGATTTACTTTCTGATTATTTTTTTAAAATGAAATCATTCCAGGGCTTTTATTGACATTTTAGAAAATGTAGAGTTGGTCCCATGCTCTTGAGGCCAGGGTCCTTGAAGTTGTACCCGGTGACCGATATTTATTTAACGTGGAATAAGTGATAATTCTTATTATAACAGTAAATAATTAAAATATCCCATAGGGATTATAATAATATGTATATCATGTAGGTGTGCATATCTGATATGCTGGGTATTACAGGGTTAAAATTGTGACCTCTGTAAATAGGCCCGTTCCTTGCATTTAGTTTTAGAGTTAGGAGTGCTAAAATTGAGAGAGCGAAATGGGGTTGATCGACCACTCGACACAAACTAGGTCATTTCGGGACTAACGTATGGTTCAATTTTATTTCAATAATTCGCCTGCGCATAGGGGTCTAGCGGTGGGAGGAAACCGGGTGATCCTGAAAAAACACACAGGTTGGACGGGCGACCTACTCCTTGTCACGTACGGAAAGATGCCCCAGCAGTCAAAATAGGTCAAAATAGGCGATTTCGGTTTCTAGTGTCGAAACATCGTTGCGGTCATTTTAAAAAATTGTCTTTTAAGGATAATGTGTATAGTACTAATACCTATCACATACGGAAGAGGCGATAACATCTCTTTGCATTTGCAATTTCAAAATTAATTAAAACCAATATTAAATTCCGAAAATCGTTTTTTAGCTAAAACTCTTTTTTTTTAATGTGATCAAAATGGGGGTAAAGCACAGAGTCCGGGGTGGTAATGGGCGTATTGTGTCCAAATTTCATGGTTTTCGGACAATCGGTGCCGGTGTCACGGCGAAATTCCACTTTTTTCCCCTCATGGAAGCCGTAAATTGACTTGAGGCCAGGGTCCTTGAAGTTGTACAGCTGCACCCGGTGACCGATATTTATTTAACGGGGAATAAGTGATAATTCATATTATAGCAGTAAATATTAAAATATTTCATAGGGATTATAATAATATGTATGTCATGTCTGGGTATTACAGGGTTAAAACCAATATTAAATTCCGAAAATCGTTTTTTTGCTAAAACTTTTTTTTTTTTAATGGGATCAAAATGGGGGTAAAGCACAGAGTCCGGGATGGTAATGGGCATATTGTGTCCAAATTTCATGGTTTTCGGACAATCGGTGCCGGTGTCACGGCGAAATTCCACTTTTTTCCCCTCATGGAAGCCGTAAATTGACTTGGAAAAAAAACGACGAAAGGCAGGTGACAAGAACAAACGACTTGAACGAATGCAGGTATCACCTTGAAATTTTCAGGGTACCTAGGTACCAACGTGAAAAGTTGCTCGCCGGAATTTAGTAATCATGGTACCGTTGGTTCCTGTGTAGCGCATGCGCGAAATCAAAACCAGCTAAACTCGAAAACAACCATGTCGGCACGGAAAACATCAAAGGAGAAATTCGAATTTTTGAAATATTCAAATACCAAACATTCGACCATGATCCAGGCTATCCTGAAATGTAATAATTTCGGTAATAGGAGACACATTCTCTAAGTCACGACCAATTGTGTATGTTTTCAAGCCCATTAATGTGGATTTTTCACTATTTTTCATTTTCAATTCAAAATGGCGTCCATCAGTTGACCTAAATCAAAATTCTACTGCCTACATTTTATGGGCTTTCCTTCAAATATAATCCCCTTGTCTGTAAGTAAAATATCAAAAAAGCCTTAGCGATATTTCACATTTCAAGATGGTGGCATGATGGATGAATGTAGCGGGTAGACTAATCACCGGAATTCACCGGAATTCATTTACAATCACCGGAATTCACTTCTAAAATCCCCGATTCCTCCCACAAAACTCACTTATTTTAAATGTATAATACATTTTGATCTCTCCACAGGCCAGATAAAGGCGCTGTAGGTGAATTTATTTTAAAGACTACCGGAATTCATTTCAAATATATGCATCATGATTATGATAACTTAGGGCGCGTCGTATTACCCAATAGGCCGAACTCCAAAATAACACATAATAACAATTTGCGCGAATTACCTAATAACTCCAAAATAACAGCCAATAACCCCAAAAATGTTGACTGTGGAAACACAATATAACAATTTAGTTGAATTTAAGAAGCCTCGCTGATTTGTGCCCAAATCGGAGGTTCACGGGAGATAACTCGTGTATGTGATTTTTGTTGACAAGAAACTAATGTATACTTTCGTTGCAATGTATTGTAATAAAAGATTGATAATAGTTTATTAAAATAAACAATTTAATATTATAGCTATATTTATTTATTTATAATCGCGCCGATTGTCACTTTCGGTCATCGACATCGTAACTTGTTTAGAAATAAATAAATTCTCCTTCTCATGTTATCATAGTGTATGTTTTTTGGAGGTGTGATTGCATGTGATTTGTCACCTTTTACAATGACAATTAACTGGTGAACATTCTATATGCCTACTATTGGCATATTATTAAAATTACACTTCATTTAATCTGGACTGCTTCATATGCTACAACGGATTATCTATGAAATCATCCAAACCATTATTGATGAGGCGTTATAATTATTTGATTGGCAGATTATTACTAAGTTAATTTTAGAATAAACTTAGCTCATCTACATTCGAGAAATGTTCGGTTTGACATTTTACATGGATTACTGCTGTGTTTTTATTGTGTTTCCCCGAGTTGACCATCTGGAAATATCGTTTTACAGCAGATACATTCTAGTATTAATATTAATGCAAAATATAAGTAAATACAATTGTCTTGGGGCGGATTCCGATTTTCTCAAAGTGAATTCCGGTGTTTTAAAGTAATTTTTTATTAATGTAAAATATAAGTAAATACGAAGGTCTAAAGTGCGAATTCCGATATTTGAAAGTGAATTCCGATGTTTATATGTTTTCAATGTGAATTCCGGTGATTTTCGGTGTTTAAAAGTAATTTATTATTAATGTAAAATATTAGTAAATACGAAGGTCTTAAGTGCGATTTCCGATATGTTGAAAGTAAATTCCGATGTTTATATGTTTTCAAAGTGAATCCCGGTGATTTAAAGTAATTTATTATTAATGTAAAATATTAGTAAATACGAAGGTCTTCAGTGCGAATTCAGATATGTTGAAAGTGAATTCCGGTGTTTATATGTTTTCAATGTGAATTCCGGTGTTTATGTGTTTTCAATGTGAATTCCGGTGATTTTATGTGTTTTAAAGTAATTCAATATTAATATTAATGGAAAATATAAGTAAATAGGAAGATTGTACGGGCGAATTCTGATATCTCCAAAGTGAATTCCGGTGTATGGATTTGGTCAAATAATATTGTAAGTTAAAATTAGGACTGAAATGCTGATGTTTCATGCATATAATTACTGTTTTAATAAACTATTAATCAATCTCTAATTACAATACATTACAACGAATTGCAACGAAAGTATACATAAGTTTGTCACATACACGAGATATCTCCCGTGAACCTCCGATTTGAACAAAAACCAGCGAGGCTTCTTAAACTCATACTAAATTGTTATTTTGTGTTTCCACAGTCAATATTTTTGAAGTTATTGGTTGTTATTTTGGAGTTATTGGGTAACTCGACGCAAATGTTCCTAAGACAATGTATCTCTTCCCCCCCCCCCTCCCGCATGGTCTCTATCGTCATTTTGGCGTATATACATACACATTGAGCTTTTTAAACAGAGAAATTCAACACCTCGTTTGACGTCAATTTTTATTATGAATTAATACAATGACATTGTGATTCAATTTCATGGATGCAAAGCATTAATTGTGATATCACATAATGTCTATATCATTATCTCGTGCTTAACTGAGTGCCCATCTTACGATAAAGGATCAAGGACACGGCCGAGAAACCTTTCTCATAAAAAGTGTTGATTTAAAATTTTGTGTATGTGGCTGAGCAGGGGTGGTCGACCCCCCAACCCCCCCCCCCCCCCTGGATCCGCCCCTGTGATCTACATATATTCCATGAGAGTTGAAGTCACCTGATCCATATTACATTCATTTTCGCACCGCATATCTTGTCTGAATATTTCAAATATCTCCCCAATTTTGTCTAGCGAGCATGACTATCACTGTTCATGGTAGAATTTTGATAACTCGCCGAGGGTATGGGCGAGGGTGAAATCACCGGGGAATCTGCATTCTCATTCTCTCCATGTTGACTGCCTGCGTTTTCTAGATTCAAAATTACCGGTACTTCTGAGTCCTCTAGGGATTAATTTATTGTAGATCTCTTCTACTGATTAGGTCTCTGATCAACTAGCTTAATTTTAATGTGTAATTTTTGTTATTTGTATGTGTTTGTATAATGTGTGTGAACCTATTTTAAACTTATCGTTAATTCATAACCCTAGCTTATATTTATTTATTGTAGGCCACTCAATCCTAGCAATGTCTTTTCTCTACTTTATTCTAGGTCAACTAGACACTGGTAGTAATTTAAATAAAATAAGTAATCCCACTTCTGACAACAATTGTTACACACGTAGTCTTCCCCACAGACTTCCAGGTGACCCCGCAATACGAGTATTGTGAGTTTGCTCCCAGCCTAGCACAAGGACCTAATCAATGAAATGAGAAAGACATTCTAGGTTGTACAAATAGTCAACAGTTTATTGATAAACATCTTAAATGCTATAATAATTCAAAAATTGAGAAAGTGAATAAAAGTTATCTCCCTTACAAGTGTTCAGAGCACTTGTCTGTGTTTAGTTATTAATTAAACGTATTATGATATATAGGCTAGATATATTTGAGGCAGTACAAAATATGCGAAAGTTAAAGCAGGTCGGGCCTTATTTATATTAATATTAACTACATTAATTTGTTGATCTCCACCCCCCCGAATGAGGCGCACAGAAATTTCATCAGTGATGTGACCGGGGTTGGGTTATTGCCAGTGTTGGGGCCTGGAGTTGTACTGGTCCGGTGCTTCCTACTGGGGCTGTGGGTTGGGGTTAGCCTACTGCTGGTGCTGGTTGGTCCTGCCACTGGTTTGGAACATTATGTTGAATTGATCTACTGTCTTCAATCTGGGACTCATTATCTCATAAGAATAATATATAAAGTGAATTAAAAGTTCTCTACTTGACTCTTACCATAAGTTTTTCTATATTTCTTTAATTCTACTTGGAGCGGAGTCCTTCTTAAAATATTAATGGCATAAAAAGCGCACTTCCAAGAGCGCTCTGTCCTGAATAGCCTTAGCTTGTGACGTCACGATAATGTAACTTCCTTCCCAAGGCCCGCGAAAGCCACAGCTTGGTGGCAATGGGCACTATCTTCTAGTGGCCATCCTGCCGAAGATAATTGCTACCATCAAGTAAAATATAAATGAACATTGAAATAAAGGTAGGGTGAATTCAATCTCGAGCGCTATTCTGATCTACTATTGCTTCTGGCCGCCATGTTGGCAGCTCGTCAGCAGAGAATGTAAACAAACCATAGGCCTAGCGAACTCTCAGACGTTTAATATTATGAATAAGAGATACAATAACTTCAACTGCAAGGACTGTTTATTAACTTCGTTACAGCTGCGCATTCACTTTCAGTGCAAATGACCTCATTTGACCTTTGACCACGAATATCTCAAAAACACCCCAACGGTGAACTGATTACCACTCGGCATCATATTCTACGCAAAATTTTACTCTAGAAAAGTTGGGTCTCGTTTTGTGCCCATTTGATGGACACCCCTCCGCACTGAGCCTCCAGAGAGAGAGAGAGAAATGGGATTTAACGTCCACTCGACACAAACTAGGTCATTTCGGGACTAACATATGGTTTAATTTTATTTCAATAATTCGCTTGCGCGTAGGGGTCTTTTAGCAGTGGGAGGAAACCGGAGGACCCAGTGAAAACCCACAAGGTTGGACAGGCGACCCTACTCCTTGTCACGTAAAACCGGGAATTCGAAACCACGCCAGTTGACTCAATGACAGGCTTTATGATACGTGCTAACCATTCGGCCATCCCCCCCCCCCCCCCCGACTTGGCAGTAGAAACTCAAAACTCTGTGTATAGGAGGAGTCTGGGTGGTCCTACTAATACCCAAAATTACATCTGTCTAAATCAATTATTGTCCGAATAACAGATTATCCAAATTTAGTGCCAAAATAGCCCATTTTCTGAGTATTTTTCAATTTAAAAAATATTTCTCCGATTTGCCAGTTTGGTATCAGTTGATTCAACGGTCAACCTAATACTTTGTAGGGATGTATCTGGGTACAAACCAATCTCACAGACAAAAATTGGTCCAAATCCCCGACCCAAGGGTTATCCCCCTCTGCATGGAGCTCTCGCGGACAGAAATGAAATGGAGTTTAACGTCCTACTGTTCTGCTCCTAACCTGGGCTAATTAAGACGGGCATACGCCATACAGTGTGCTATGAGGGAAATTTTGCCCGGACAGCGGCACTATGGCCTACTCTTATATCGAATTCCAACTGCCAAGGGATCTTTTACGTGCACGCCAATGTGTACGACTAGATAGCTTTCCTTGTCTGCCCCTCCGTCCTGCATCACTGACAAGGGAGAACCACGCCGGAAAATCTGGATGAACTTTCTCAGCCAATGCAGGGATCGAACACCCGACTTCCAGGCTAGCGAGCTAGCGTCTTACCCACGTGATCCCCTCTCGCATACAGACTCTTAATTAAGCGATATATATTTTTCAGTCTAACAGGTAGTTGTGTTGTTTTATTACTTTTATTTTTTTGTACAAGTTTCCCTATTGGCACACAAATTGATATTAAATTGTCTGCCATATTGATATTATCGCATGCTGTAATGAAATTGGAACATGTTCATTTTAGTCCTTTCACATAATTATTTACGCCATTACGTCATGTGAAACAATGCTACATTTCATAATGAACAACAATTTACCTACATATACTTGTACATAATGTATACATGTAACAAGCTTTATATTGTATTCCAATTTTACGTTGGACATGAGTAAAAAATGATCTTTCGCAACTTCCGTATGGTTTTGAACTTTCACTGTTGAGTATTTATGACAATTGATAAAATACATAAGGTCCATGATAAAACTAAGCTTATTTTCGATACTATCGATTATAGATCGATATTTCAATACCAATTATCGATAGTAAAAATCACTATCGTTACCTACATGTAGGCCTAGAGGAGAAATTGGTTCAAATCAAGTTTATATCTATTACCACAAATTTTTAAAACATTAACACACAGATTCTTCTCCATTCAGTGCCATTAATTTCATATCCCGATTTTCAAGTTCTAAAGTCAATTGCTCTACTTCTGCTTCTAACATTCTGTTTTTACGATACATTTGAACATAATTCAGCTGTAATTGTTTCTGGTATCGAATTACTTTGTTCTTTTCAATTAACCACTGTTCCCGTTCTCTATCAAATGTATTTTGTGTAATATCTAACTTTTCTTTCACTTTTAACCGGTCATTTTGCAAACAACATTCAAGCTCATCATTTGCAGAAAAACATGAAGGTTTTAGTAAATCAATGCGAGAAACTTCATCCATTTCCACAGATTTCATAGAGTTTTCACGGTATTCAGATTTCTCAAACAAATAATGTCCCAGATAAATGTTTTCATCATCAGTATTGCAGAAAGCTTCAAAAGTTTGCTTTGAAGTTTCTTGATGAGTTTCACATTCAGACAAGAATTTTGATGATTGAAATTTGTCCTCCGTCACCTTGTCAACCATGTGAGGTAACTGTAATGGATATAGGACATCAATAGTGTTACCTGAACAAGCCGCCATAGCTGTAAGTTCCACTTGTAAATTTTTCAATTCTTGTTCTTTTGCTGCATACTGCCGATGCAGTATTTCATTCTCACGTGACAGGCTGTTACAACTTGCTAAAATTTCCTGTTTTTCTTGCTGCAGTTTATGAATTTGCAATAACAGAACTTGTTCAGTTTTATAGGACTTACGTTGTTGTGTTTTAAGTTGCCTGTCAAAGGCCTCTTTAATTTCTCTATTTCCTCTGCGCCACTCATCCTTTTTCTCTTCATAGACTTGAAATATAGCTCTTTCATTTTTGTCCATAACATCACGTAACATGTTTAGTTCACCTACCTTTTGTCGTAGCACAACTTCAAGTCCCCCAAAATTACTATCAGATGGGGATTGATTATCAACAAGATTATCACTGCGCAATAAACTACTTGCGTTATGTTCAGGTGCAACAGTTATGTTTAATAAATCGCCAGAAAAGCCAGTTGATATATTTCTTTCTTGAGTTTTCCCTTTATACAGCTTGTTCTGTAGCCTGACATTTCTTATGCAAAGTTCATCTTTCTTTGGAAATGGGTAATTTAAGTGTTCTTGTGTAATTTTTTTCTGGGTAAATGTCTGGTTATCATTTATTGGCTTAAAGGCAATGGGTCTTAAAACATCCTGACAAATATTCTGAAAAACCAAAAAAAAAAATACAATGGTTACAAGACAACAGGACATAGCCACGCAAAGCGTGGAAATACGTCCACACAGCAGGTATGTCTTGAAAAAAGGAACTCATAGAAAGGAAAGAGAGAAATAGGGTTTAACGTCCACTCGACACAGACTAGGTCATTTCGGGACTAACATATGGTTTTTAATTTTATTTCAATAATTCGCTTGCGCGTAGGGGTCTTTAGCAGTGGGAGGAAACCGGAGGGCCCGGAGAAAACCCATAGAAAGGAAAACTTGAATGTTAACCAAATTTGATAAGGATCACTTTGCCAACACATTCCAAATATAATTTTAACACACAGATCATAGCTACGGTAGATGCATAATGAGGACTTTAAGAAACAGGAAGTGATGCAAAAAATGAACCAGCGGCTGCCAGGCAGGTACACCCACATTTGCAAGAGATGGATAGAGAACAAGCTAAAAAGAAAAATAATTTTTTTGTACAAGCAGGGGCCATAATCCAGAAAGTTATGGTTTGAAATGCGCAAATATAAAAAGGGACTGAGATTTCTGGAATATAAAGATATGTTTAAAGTTTCATCAAAATCAAATAAAACTTGTGACCTCTAGTGGGTCCATAACCTTCAATTGTATTACATACTTATACACAATTTGCTTACAAAGAGCAGCGACTTTGTTGGGGAGTTTCATTTCGATTTTCCTAAAAATTGAATTCAATCTTCATTATGGTGGAATGGTGATATATCTAAGTTTTCAAAATCGGAAAAAAAATTGTGACATCAAGAGAACCCACAAGCTAAAAATGCGATTTTTCGACCAATCAAGGGCCATAATCCAGGAAGTTACGTTGGGATATGTGTGATTATCAAAAGGAACCAAGATCTTTATAATAATAACATATAATTTAAAGTTTCATCCAAATCGGATAAAAACTGTGTCCTCTAGAGGGTCCACAACCTTGATATATCATATTTTTACACTATTTGTGTACAATATGCGGGGACATTATGTCCGTCAGTTTTAGTTTGATTTTCGCGGATAAAAATTGTGACCTCTATGGGGACCACAAGCTCAAAATGCTATTTTTCGTACAATCAAGGGCCATAATTCAGGAAGTTATGATTCGATATGTGTGAATATCTAAAGGAACCAAGATCTTTGGGTTATAAACATGCATTTCAAGTGTCATCAAAATCTGATCAAAATTGTGACCTCCAGAGGGTCCACAACCTTGATATACGAGATGTTTACATTATTTGCGTACAATGGGCGGCATTTTGTCCAACAGTTTTGGTTTAATTTTCACGAAATTCAAACTCAACCATCATTAGGGTGTAACGGTGATATACTAAAACATTTTCTTAAATCGGATAAAAATTGTGACCTGTATGGGGACCACAAGCTCAAAATGCGATTTTTCGTACAATCAAGGGCCATAATTCAGGAAGTTACGATTCAATATGTGCGAATATCGAAGGGAACCAAAATCTTTGGGTTATAAACATGCATTTCAAGTGTCATCAAAATGTTTTTTAAATCGGATATAAATTGGGACCTCTAGAGGGACCACAAGCTACAAGTGTGATTTTTCGTACAATCAGGGGCCATAATTCAGGACGATACGATCCGACATGGGCAAATATTGAAAGGAACCAAGATCTTTGGGATATAAACATGCATTCATCTAAATCGGATGAAAATTGTGACCTCAAGAAGAGTGGGTCAGATTGCCCCAAATCGTGATTGGACAGTTGATTAGGAGCATGCCACAACGAATTACTGAATGTCTGAGGATTGGTGGAGTATAAGTCTTATACTCCGCTTCGACTTATGTACGGATGAAGGTAAAAAAAAAATTGACATCTCCCCCCAAAAAATTTCAGTTATCGTCTCTCCACGATGCCGGATGCACTATCGTCTAAAAGAAAACTACATGTACTTTAAGTTACACCATTCCAATTGAAATATTTGTAGACATTTCTTTGCTTGTTTATTTCTTTATTTAAAAACCTCTCTTTTTCCCACCTTCAAAATATTATCAACCTGAGAATATGCCATCAAAATAAAATCTTTTCTCAAACCTTTGTCAAAGATAGGTTGCCAGGCAACAAAACATACGCCCACAGCGGCTAAATCGTCCGAGCGGTCGACAAGGAGTTGTCACATATTTAATCCTTTGTAGGTAATTAGGGGTTTACAAGACAGTTCCATACAGATGACATAATTTTCGTCGTTTGAGGGTTCACAAGGTTCTAAAAACTAAAACAAGGGCCATAACTCTGGAAGTAATCTACAGAAATTGTTGAAATTCGACAGGCTCTTTCGTTTTACTAATTCAAATAATGCATATAAATTTCATACAGATCGAATGATAACTTTTGTCGCTGATAACTTTTCTACATATTGAAACAAGGGTCTCAACTTTGGAAGTAATCTACAGAAATTGTTAAAATTTGACAGTCTTTTTCGTTTCACAAATTTAAATGATGCATATAAATTTCATACATATCGGATGATAACTTTCATCAATCGAGCATTAACAAGGTTGAACAAAGTGAAACAAGGGCAATAACTCTAGAAGTAATACACAGAAATTGCTGAAATTCAATAGGATTCTTCTCTTTACTTATTTAAATGACGCATGTAAATTTCATACAGATCGGCAGATAACTTTTGATGTTAGAGTATTCACAAAGTTCAATAAAGTGAAACAAGGGCCATAACTCTAGACGTAATAAACAGAAATTGCTGAAATTCAATAAGCTTCTTCATTTCACTACTTTAAATAATGCATATAAATTTCAGAAAGATCGGATGATAACTTTTGGTGTTAGAGCGTTCACAAGGTTCAATAAAGTGAAACAAGGGCCATAACTCTAGACTTAATACACAGAAATTGCTGAAATTCAATAGGCTTCTTTGTTTCACTAATTCAAATAATGCATATAAATTTCAGAAAGAAAGGATAACTTTTGGCGTTAGAGCGTTCACATGGTTAAATAAAGTGAAACAAGGACCATAACTCTAAATGTAATAAACAGAAATTGCTGAAATTCAATAAGCTTCTTCGTTTCACTACTTTAAATAATGTGTGTAAATTTCAGAAAGATCGGATGATAACTTTTGGCGTTAGAGCGTTCGCAAGGTTCAATAAAGTGAAACAAGGGCCATAACTCTAGACGTAATACACAGAAATTGCTGAAATTCAATAGGCTTCTTCGTTTCACTAATTCAAACAAGCCAACAGTGAGGCTGATGTCCCCCGCCGAAATAGGAAAATAATTAGAGGACACATATAAATTTATCACAAATAAGCGGAACGGACAGACAGACAAACAGACAGACGGACGAACCCATTTTAATAGTTCCCTGCTTTCTTCGAAAGGCGGGGGACAATCAAAGTAGGAGAGTTATTGTTTTCCAAAGTCTCGACCAATCAAATTGCGTATCGCTCTGCTTACCCTGAGCAGAAAATGATCATTATCAAACTTAGTCAAGGTATTACTGTAATGAAACTATACACCAAGTTTCATCAATCTCACTTAATTAGAACTAAAGTTATCGTGTCCCAAAGCATCAACCAATCAAATTGCTTATCTCTGCTTACCCTAAGCGGAAAATGCTCATCTTCGAACTCCATCAAGGCATTGACCTAATCAACACATACACCAAGTTTGAACATTCTAGCTCAATTAGGAAGAGAGTTATCGTGCCCCAAAGTATCAACCAATCAAATTGCTTATCTCTGCTTACCCTAAGCGGAAAATGCTCATCTTCGAACTCCATCAAGGCATTGACCTAATAAACACATACACCAAGTTTGAACATTCTAGCTCAATTAAAAGTTATCGTGTCCCAAAGCATCAACCAATCAAATTGCTTATCTCTGCTTACCCTAAGCGGAAAATGCTCATCTTCGAACTCCATCAAGGCATTGACCTAATCAACACATACACCAAGTTTGAACATTCTAGCCCAATTAGGAAGAGAGTTATCGTGTCCCAAAGCATCAACCAATCAAATTGCTTATCTCTGCTTACCCTAAGCGGAAAATGCTCATCTTCGAACTCCATCAAGGCATTGACCTAATAAACACACACACCAAGTTTGAACATTCTAGCTCAATTAGGAAGAGAGTTCTTGTGTCCCAAAAAGTGTGACGGACAGACAGACGGACAGACAGACGGACGGACGGACAGACGGACAGACAGACGGACGGACAGACAGACGGACGAACCCATTTTAATAGTCCCCTGCTTTCTTCGAAAGGCGGGGGACAATAATGCATATAAATTTCAGAAAGATAGAATGATAACTTTTGGTGTTAGAGCGTTCACAAGGTTAAATAAAGTGAAACAAGGGCCATAACTCTAAACATAATACACAGAAATTCAATAGGCTTCTTTGTTGCACTAATTCAAATAATGCATAAAAATTTCAGAAAGATAGGATGATAACTTTTGGGGTTAGAGCATTCTCAAGGTCAAACCAGCGGCTGCCAGGCAGGATACGCCCACATTTTCAAGAGATGGATAGAGAACAAGCTAACAAGAAAGTGATTTTTCCTACTATCAAGGGCCATAATTCAGGAAATTACAATTCAATATGCGCGAATATCAAAAGGAACTGAGATCTTTGTGTTATAAACTTACATAAAGCTAAGAAAGTGATTTTTCCTACAATCAAGGGCCATAATTCAGGAAATTACAATTCGATATGCGCAAATATCGAAAGGAACCAAAATGTTTGGGTTATAAACTTACATTTCAAGTTTCAACAAAATCGGATAAAGATTGTGACCTCTATAGGGTCCACAACCTTGATATACCATATTTTTAAGCTATTTGAGAACAAGGGGCGGCCATTTTGTCTGTCAGTTTTGGGCCGATTTTCACGAAATTCAAACTTAGCCGTCCTTAGGGTGTAACGGTGATATAATAATACGTTTTTTTAAATCGGATAAAAATTATGACCTCTATAGGGTCCACAAGCTA